CCCCCCTTCCCAAATATCAGCCACCCCCACCCCTTATCAGGAAGAGGCGCTTTTTAAAGTATTTGTAGAGAGAAGTCGATGCCTGCTTATTCTGTAAAAAGAAAAAAATTGGTCAATAGCACAATTCCCAGCGCTTAAAGCCTCTCTCAGAAGATAGAGGCTATTGTTTCCGCTATTTTTTTACTTGGTAAACACTGTAATACACAGGAGCCATAAGGTATTATAGACAAATCGCCATCAAATGATTGATTATCAAACTCAACTTATCGGATCTTCACTGATTTTAGGAAGAGCTTGAAGATGTGTTTAAAGAGATGCAAAAAAAGAATCTGGTCAATAGAAAGGTAATAAATTAATCAATCAATCAATCAGTTAGTAAGTCAGTCAGTCAGTCATGACTTTCTTGTTCATAAATCACCTTCAAGCTCCAACCTTTAGTGCATGTAATAGCCGTAGTACTCGCCAGTGTATCAAACAGATGGCTCTAATGTTGGAGCGTTAACTACTACAGTGGAACCTCGATTTAACGAAGTGCTAAGGGACTGGGCAAATTGGTTCGTTATATCGAGGGTTCGTTATATCGAGGTTCTGTGGCATACCTTTACTGTAACTTTAGCCGGGCTGAAACTGAAGTATCGTTCGTTATACCAAGGACTTCGTTATATAGAGGTTCGTTAAATCGAGATTCCAATGTACCTGGTGCTTTACATTTAACAATTATTCCACGAGTGCGCGTTGGATATAGGATGATAGAGAGCCAACGAGGCGCGTAGCGTCGAGTTGGCTATAATCATCTCATATCCAACAAGCGCGAGTGGAATAATTGTTTTATTAAATAAAAAATGTCCCCAAGATATTAGACAAATCTTCTCGACTTTATTTTTTAAGAAACCGTATGTTACGATGCACAGATATTAGATAATGGTATATTAGCTCATATACTATAATGGCTAAGCCAATTAAAAGTCTTGAATTGCATTATCCAATGATCCAGTTTTTAATAAACTTCTATATAAGTTTGTTTGTCCGTCCAATTAAATACAGACTTCTTTTTAAAGCAACTGATCTTTTCGCTTTGCGGTGGTCACTTCAATTTTTGTGTTTATAACCAAGTTTAAAAATTCCAGTTGAATGGTATATGTAAGAGCAGGCAAGGGGAACTGAATCTGCTCCCCTGTCGCCGTTTGCGTCTTAAAAATACTAAATCCGTTTTGCATATTGATGTACTTTTGTTTTTGTAATGATCGGCTGTGTTGTTTTACGTTATGTTACTTACGTGCATTTTTCTTAGAAATCGATTGAAAACCCTGGCGTTCAGTTCATACGTGCATTGCCATTTGCTGCAATGACGTTTCAGCTTAGTTCTGTGTGAGTAAAATATTGTTATTTTAATCACTTTAAAGAACGTGTTTGATATTGGAGTACATTAGGGCTCACATTGGTTTTGCTCTACTTCGCTCTGTGATTGGTTCAGAAAACTCGCCCCACTCTCTAAAGCAATCAGATGGACGCTAGTGACGTCTTGGTCCTCCGCATTTTCCCGCGCTTTAGACGGTTTACTGGTTTTTGCTTTGATTTCTTAATGGCTATTCAGGGTGTTTTCCTTAATTCTGAATGGCCGTTGTAATTACTTTGCTTTTGGTTTTACGTCACTCGAAAAGCGTTCTATTCAAGAGTGCTGACTTCAATGACAAAATGTACAACCATCAATGATTAGCCATTTTATACAATTGGCAGCGCCCGTGGGCATTAGGAAGCGAATCCTGTGTTCTGATTGGCTACCCGAACGGGCAAGGTGGGCCGATCTTGCCCGCTCGGAATTGCCGGCTTTGATCCCATGCAAGAAAAAACTGTTTTGAGCGGACTTACAAAGTTCGTAACTTGTGCTACAAACACAGTTGGCTTTCTTTCCCGGCTCTCGCATTAAGCAAGTCCTTCTTGATTCTTATTAAAGTGGAATCTTTTTGCTTTATAATAAATCTTTTATTGACCAAGCGTGAGGTCAAGATGGCTGGATATTGCCCGAGTTCTTTTTTTGTTTTTGTGCGTTTTTATGGACCACGACGAAGTCAACATGAAGAAAGAAATAGTGAAATTCGCTGCCTCTGAGTAGGATTCCAGCACAGCTGAACATACAAAAGTGTCTGGTATTTTTCAGTGGTAGCGCAAACCTCACAAATGCAAAACCACAGAAATAATATTTCTCCTGCCAAGGAACTTTCCCGCAACAATGAAATCTAAGCTTTCTAGACCCTGCAAGAGACACTGGCACAGCATAAAGTAAAAGTTATGAGAAGGAATTTTGTCGAATTTGTTAAGGAGACAAAAGAAAAATGAAGGTATTACAATAATCACGATGAAGATTGTTTGATCTTGCCTCACAGGTATCATCGATTTTTCATGCATGGGTTTAAATTTGTGACGTTCTACAGAGACTGCGCTCACTTTTGGAAACAGCTTATAAAAGGAGAACAGCACAAATTTAATAAACCCGAAGACAGTGACACCAGGATGGAGCAAAGAACAGCTTCTCTTACCCCCGGTACAATAGTATTCAAACAGTCACGAGCGCTCGGCGGACATGTAGCTTGTATTCTTTCTCTTCTTACTACAGACAAGGTTTGAATAGATTATATTAAGTAATCCAAAGCGTCAAAATTTATCGACACATGTTTGAAGAGTTTCATTTGTATGAAGAATAGCAGTCCAGTTTTTACCAATCTCTAAATCATTAGCAAACCCCTTCACCTTCCTAGGTGCATGGAATCACGATACAACATTGTTTGGAGGGGGGGAACGAATAGGTTAACTTAACGAGCGCAAAAGAGATAAATAGAGATAATTGGGGGATTGAAAAGATCAATGTGTCAACAGTTTTTCTATTTATAAGGGGCAAACAGGTTATAAAGAGACAAAATTGAGGTAATAGGGGATTGAAAAGATCAATGTGTTAACAATTTTGTCGCCGATCTTAGCCTGTTTCAGGTGTCCGTTAGTGAAACGAAGCGCGACAGTAAACAGCGCTATAGCAGCAAAGGAGTGAAAAAACGAGGGAGGTTTGGGTCGGGTCGCGTACGCGTCAAAATTCCGGTCGCATACTTCATGTACAAAGACTTGCCCTGTATACTAACTAATACGGCGGCTATGATTCGAGGAGGAAGTCCCAGGGAGTTTCAACACCAGCTTAGTAGCAAGTAGATCTGCCCACTTGGAAGGCGTCGGCTTACCTGTGTCTAATCTTAACACGTCATTGTACTCCTAAGATACATGAAATTCCCTTCAAATTTACTCAAATTGGTTGATATTGAGGAACAACAAAATACCACGGAGAGGGATAAACTCCCGATTTGTAGTAAAATGCAACTACATGAATCTAAAACTTCAAAATTGTCCAGGGGAGTCTACTCCTTTAGAACAAGAGGCTTTCCAGGCCTTCATAACTACCTGCCTGTTGTTTCAACCCCTTTTTTGTACCATCTTTTAATGAAACCACTGAGGGAGAGTGTCCTATGTGTTGAGATAGGCCGTCAACATCTTCTCTGAGTGCACTTTTATTCGAATTTTTTTTCCTCTGCTTCTTGTGAATTCCTATTTTCTCTGCCTATGTTTTACAGTTATCTGTTGATGTGAGCATTCCCGAAGAGGTGTTGAACTGCGACTCGACGGAGTTATCAGAAAGCACGGAGCAACAGACAAGTGAAGCCACTGGTGGAAGTGATGCACCACTGTCTGAGGTAAATCTTTTCAAGTATCAGTCAAACTGCCTTTCACACTCTCATATGATCCCGGGAAGCTCTGGCAATGTCCACAGCTTGCAGACTAAGGGCCGATTAGAGAGGGGTGAAGGGTGGGGTTTACTAAAAACCAACAGTTATCTTTTAATGACTCATTGTCTGTTAAAATGCAAGCCCTTACAGTCATCTCTAGTGTTGGCTTGCTGTGATGAGTATCATATAAGTTATGAGTTTCTTTGGTTGTGAAACCATCATTGCATCAAACCCACTTGTTGGTGTTTTGTTAAAACTGTCGGTTAGTTTTACAAATTCTACCTTCTGGCCGCAATGACCGTGATTCGGTGATCACCGACGTCCTCTCGTTCCATCGTTGTCTATTTTGATACGAGAAGATGAGGATGCGACTTCGTATTGACTTGTTTAAAAGCAGGTAAACAAGCAGCTATACTGAGTAGCTTGTGAAACGGGTTACTGAGATTATACTTAGATAAGCAGGTTACTCTACATGCTGCTATGCCTCAACATCCTCCTCGAACCCAGTCTTTCTCTTAACTCTCGGTATCTATAAGTAAACCGGCTTCCCTTCCCTTGTCAAACTCGATAAAACGTAGTTTTACCTCAGCTTTTTTCAATCTTTCGAATGAAATCAATTTCCTCTTCGCTAGGAGCCTAAAGAATTGGATCTCCAAGCCAAATCTATGTTTGATTTGTGAAAGCTGTGCATTTATTGTAGGTGACAACAATGAAAAGCGAAAGCTGAGTTTTGATTCCAAGAAAAAATTCTGTCTCCAGACTGAAATTGAAACATAAGTTTTATTTCCTTCCCCTCGCGGTTGTTTGTATTTTCAAAAAAAATTCTTTTCCAGTGTATTTTCAAACACTTTTTCCCAAAAATACCACAAACGGCTAAATGAGATTTTCTAATACCTTTCGTTGCTGTTGGTTGTTGTCTTGGACGGAATTAATTTTGAAAAAAATCTTTGTTCTGTTTCTTTAAGGACAACACTTCATTAGGTAAAGATAGGGTAAAGAGTGTGCGTCCATCATTGGCGAAGACACAAACTTCCGATAATGCTGGATTAACAGAGAAGAATCGGGTGTCTCCCGTCCAGGGTGTCATGTCAAGCAAGAGTAGTAAGACGGTTGAGTCAGCCCCAGCAGTAAAGCAGACAGCGTCATCTTCCAAAGCAAAATCCTCAGAGAAAAGTACAAAGGGAAAAGGACTTGAAAAACGAGAAATTTTTACCTTGAAGATATCGTCATCATCAACTTCATGTAGCTTCACAACTCCATATGATCTGACAGCTGCGAAAGACTCGAGTGATTACTTGACAAGTTACACCGAGGAATGTGAGGGGCAATCCACCGATAGACAGAGCAGTAAAGTATCTACTGTGCCAGTGGCATCTCTATCCTTCAGCGGGACATCTCGCTCATCAAGAACTGCACTAATGTTGGCCCGTGGTGGAAAGGACCCATATACGTCCCTTAATCAGCTCCCAGCCAGGGCCGTTAACACCCACGACTTTATGACTTTGAATCCGTGTAAAAATGTGTTGAAATTGAAAAAAGACATTGTTGCAAACTTAACAGCTGATAACCATCAGGAGAATCATAACAAGGCTAAATACTCCTCTGACCACAGACCCAGTGCTTTCGCAACTTCTTTTGACAAAGGATCATCAGATTATAGAACTTATCCTGTGATGATTTCCGCGGAGATTTCAATAGAAGATTATATAAAGCTCAGTAGGGAAGATTTTGGCTTCACTGAAATGGATTTTCCACTTACAAGAATCATTCACTAGGTTGTTGAAGAGAAAAGAGAAATTGGTGTCACTATGGCAGAGTTACAGGTCTGTTATACCACGTACAACAAATTTCTTTTCTAGGTAACCTTTAATACAAAGTCTGCCGTTAATTAACTCAAACTCCGGTCCTCAAACCGGTTAGAAAAGAAGCCTACCACTTTGCTGCAAGTCATACACGTTTACGAAAGGCTTAAACCCTTCGCTCTTATGATTCCCAAACAAATGACAAGAATGAACAAATGGTAAACACCATAGCGTACAGTTATAGATGCACGCGAGAGGTTGCCAAGCACGAAAGAAGCGTAAGAGTCGCTCGAGGCGATAACCGAGAGCGACTAGCTTCTTGAGTGCTTAGGAAACCTCCCAAGTGCATC